TTTTTTTGTCAATTGGTGTAGAAAACTATGACTATTTTATAATAAAGTATGCAAGTGTGCAATATTTATATTATTGAAATCAATCCAAATTTCAATTAAAACCGAAATAACTGATCGAAATATAAAAGTTTTGGTTCAGTTCTTTATATATATGTTTAATTATCTTTTTCTTTGTTTATAATTAAAAAATTAGTTATTTTCGATTATTTTGGTTAACCAATCGAGAAATGATTAATTTTGTTTGGTTTTATGATCAATTTTGGACATAAGTTTGGTCTCTTTGGTTTTAAAAATGAAGAATTCGGTTAATTCGGTCTTATGAGCCGAACCGGCCGATGAACAATCTTGGGTGTAATGGTTAGACAATTATATTTTTCAATAGATATGTATACTTTCACAAAAGCAAGATAAAACAAAAGTGACATTTCATAGCATAAAAAAGTATATCAATAAAATGTAACAAGTTGATTTAGCTTATTATTAGGCTGTATGACATAATAATGTGTATTTGATCTAGGTCAAGCAACATTCCAAAGAAGCTTTTATGCATCATGTTTATTGATTGAAAATTATATTGTCATGATATGAATTGAGAGTTGAGACAACTTAATTAAAAAATACAAAATTGTGAGTACTTTTATGTATTATGTTATCAAACTGTATTTAGAAAAATCAATCTCATGATATTTTCTTTTGTTCTTATTGGTTTTGATCTTTGTTCCTTGAGGGAGAACCTAAGAACCTAATTGGTGGTGAGAAGCCCTCATGATATTTAGAAATCAAGTTCTAGGGACTTTTTTTTTTGTTTAAATAAAAAAAGATAAGTTCGAAACACTTACCTGCAATTTCAAAAATTTTAACTACATTTCAATCTAGTCCATGTGTCAGATGTGTAATTTAATAAAAGTTGATAATCGCACAATAATGTTCAGTGCAATGAACAATATCATGTTTGGATATGCACAATAAAATGGCCGTTGCAGAATGCGCAGTAGTGTTAGACTAAAGACACATTAATCGTATAACAACATATTTTGTGCAACAACTAAAAATACTCTTGCATGAAAAATCAAAAGTCCACATTTACAACAATACCACTGCCCATTTTATAAAAGCTGGACCATTTGACTGTATCTGGAGCGTTGATATATCACACCCGAACGCTACGATCAATTTTTATTTCCATATTAATGGCTACTGATGATCAGATATTGCATGTGTAACAATTCCCATTCCCACAACTCTTCTCCTACCCATCGTTTCATTTTGCTGCAATAATCCCACATTTTTAATGCAATTAAACAAAGCCCTTTCCCCTCCCTCAGTTCACACCCTCTATAAAATCATTTCCCTTAAAAAAAACTTGTCACATATCCTTCAAATTTAACCACACGCAATCCCGGATATACACATCTCCAAACAATGGATACCAAGAGTCTAGTTTTCTTGCTTACCATCACCTCTCTCACGGCCCGTTTATCGTCATACCGAGATTTTCCATTCCCGAGCTCTAATCCCATCGGGCCCACCCGCAGCCCAGAAATAGAAGGCGAAACTCCCGACTGCTTCGCCGCGCTCTACAAAATCAAGTCGTGCTCGAACGAGATACTCAATTATTTCGCGACGGGCTCAATCGACATTACTCGTCCGTGTTGTGAAGCCATCACTATAATCACCCACAATTGCTGGCCGACCGTGCTTGGTATGCTTGGTTACGGGCCGGACCAAATCTATGCATTGAGAGGCTACTGTGATGCGGTTGCCCACGAGGAACGTGGATTCGAGCCAACGTCGAGCCCGTTTGGAATTGGGCATGTTCTGAGCCCATATGCGCAGCCTTCGCCGGCAGACAACTAGGAGTTGGGATGTTTGTTTCATTACTCATTAGTGGTTAAATAATATGTTTCTTGATTTTCATGCATGTGAACCTTTTGTTTTTGCTTTTAGGAATTAATAACACTGTGTTTGTTTAGTGTTTGTTTTGTTTAGTTTATTTAGGACAAAAAGACAAGGCTATTACTAGCTTGATGCTCTATGTGCTTGTCTAATATTTACCATAAGTTCTCATTGTCACTATATAAATTTTCTGTGAAGTATGTAAAATCTGGATTAGAAGCACAAGTTCACCTGTATCAATCGACTGTCAAGATTTAAAGCACAACTAGTACAATCAAAAAAATCACAAATCGGACAATCTGCGGTTTTATTTTAGCTTATGCTCGACAGTGAAAACACTAAGGGGAACAAACCAACTGCTTTCGAGGAAAGCCCCTTTTATCAGACAACATTATATTATACAACAATGAACTCGTGACAACGGAAAAGAAAATAGGAAAAAAGAGGAGCTGACAAAATCACCGATGGCTCCTCCCTTGAAAGCCGCCTTTGTTCTTTGCGAAGTAGGCATTCTTTGGCTTGGGAATCTCATGAATATCCATCACCTGAATAGTTCTTTGTTTTTTGGCTACAAAAAGGGAAAAAAAA